GTTTAATCCCCAACTCAGCGTCGTACATCGCAGTCTGACACGATTTGCTGTCACATCAGGTCTTTGTGAGTTAAATGTTGATGCAATAGGTCTGCGCCGGGAACACTTGCGTCATAGAATATTAAACATGTTTAATATTCTCACAATGACCTGAAGACTGACGATAAATTGCATCAGGCTGTGCTGTAGGGCGCTGTTGGTGTTGGGCTTCATGATATGTAAATTAATAAATTATTTTTTCCTAAACCCGCCTTAAGCCACATATACACTAGATATGATTACGACAACGACATATCATTGCGCAGTTTGTATTCTTCAACACTGCTCGCATCTGTATCGTTTCGTAATTGTGTCTAGTGTAAATGTGGCTTTACTCTTCTGCAGTATACTCAGTGCTATACATTCAAATATACTAATGAAAAGAATGTTGCAAGTAAATCTGGTGGAATCCAGATAAATGCGCTTAGTAAGTTGTGAAAAAACCTTGCAACTGATATTTGAGTTCAGCTGGTATAAAGTATGGGTGCATGTGTGTAAACCTGTAGGTGTGTGTGTGGCTCTAGACCATAGTAAATCTATTTCTTTTCTATCCCATAACCACATGCCTTTCTTGGCCATCCTTAGGTAATCTAAGCTTCATTCATTTTCACAAATGCTGTAGAGCGACATTTGTAAGGTTCGTTGTGTACAATCATAGCTTTGCTTAGCAATCTCTCCCTTGCTTGAGGTTATTATACTGCACACATACGAAAAGTAAATCCTAGCCGAGCCACGGGGCTCATGTGCGCTGGAGCTTATCCCCAGTTTTAAGTATCGAGAAGCGGAGGAGATGCTCCCCCTGGGTGGGACATTTGTCCATCACTGGCTACTTCCAGGAATTTGCTGGTACTCATTGATTGGTTATAATGAGGCAATGTAGTACACTGCTTAGACACTGTCTCTTATACACATCTAGATGTGTATAAGAGACAGACTATGCACAGAACAAGTGAGCAGATGTAACTGGAAAAAAAAA